GAATCCAGGATAGGACCAGAATTCTTTTGGCTAGGAACTGCCAACTGCAATTCCTAGCAGCCCATCTCAGTACAGTCGATGTTGAAGGAAGCTAGCAAGTTCACTACATTAAAAGGCCATAAGTTCTTCATGCGGTAAAGAAAGATATATGATACAAGCAGTATCTATGCAACATTCATGCATTAACTATTCTGTTTTTAAAAATACAGCAATTCTTTGTAATTGGCAGGACAATAAGAGACTGTTAATTTCAATAGTCTGGGGTGAGAATAACTGTGTACCGAGGTACAATTAAAATTGAAGCTGATATCGTAAGTGAAAATAATTATCATTATGCATTATTGCTGCTTCACAACTGGCTTTTTATTAGTATTACTATAACAAGAAACAGTTGGAAATTGCTTGTATTTTCCTTTCCATTTTAGATAAGAAAATTAGTGCTTTGAGAAAGTTAGTAGTTATCCTAAACACTATGTCAGAAGTTCATGTAGTCCAGAATAGAGTATTCGGGTTGACAAAGAATTGTCAAAGTCTTGGACAGAGGATTTTTCCACTTTAGTATTAAAGATTCCTTTTTCTTTTCTAGCTGGGAAATGGTACCTTTTCCTGGCTACATTGTTGGGAACCTTATGGCTGTGAAAAAGATAAATAATGGGAAATATAAGAAAGATATATAATATTAAATGTAGTGAAAAATTATATATAGTGTAGAGAAAAAATATATACTAGAACCCAAGAGGTCAAATAAAGGAACTGTTTACATAATGCATAACAGAGCCATGAATTTGCTACCATAGAAAGTATTTATAACCACCAACATGGTCAGTGTTAAAAAATAATTAGATACGTTCATGGAGATAAAGCTTGTCATCAGTCATACATTGCCTCCAGTAATGCTGAGGAACTTACATGAGGAAGCATTATCACTTTCAACTCTGCTTATGAACTTCCCATTGGTGCCTGACTGCCCATTGCAGAACCTGATCTAGCATATTTCTATGCTGTCATTTGTGCTTATTCATGTCAAATACATGCTATTGGTCTCCTTCTGATTTTTTGCCATCATAGACTAACATGGCTTCCTTCCTACAATTATTGTTTGAAGGGAAGTGTGCAGCTTTGAAAAAAAGTATGCTATTAGATTATATTTATTTTCAGCATCTCCTAAACTTACATTATATATTTAATTAGCTTTTATCTATTTCTTATTTATCTATTTTGAATTTCTATTTCCATGTTCATTGCAACCAGTATAGTAGTTCTGAAAGTGTTTATGTAGACTTCAAGGTTACATGTAAAATAAATGATTTTTTCTCTGCCAATTTGTGGGTGAGAGTTTAAGATTATGTTGTTTATAGCTTCTAGCGTCACATGATACTATTCCCCATGTAAATTGAAATTATGGAAATATATTGGTTTGTTTCAGTAAAGCCACTACCAGGAATAAAAAAAAGAACTATCAAAATAAAGTGTATCAGCAGGTGTAGTATTTCAACACAACACATTTTAATCCTAAAAATTGTATGAATTGCTGCATGATGTTATGTAGGCAGGCAAGAAAATATGGTGACATGGCAAGAAGAAAAAGCAATGTAAGCATTTATGACATATGGCTGTAATGCTCAATAACAAGAGCTTAGCTTTTGTTAAGTCCTCAGAGACCATCAGATTTAAGGGGAAATATGCTTCCATAAGCGATTTATGGAGTACTTATGTGCAAGGTATTTGAAAGTACAATTACTGAAAATTCTGCATACATACTATAAAACATTAAACAAGGTTGACTCCAGGGACAGCATAAGTTGATAACAACAAAACACTTAAATATATTTTGAAGGAGATACACTAGAGGTAGAGTTAATTATTCTGTGTTTTCCTGAGGACCCAAGTCTCAATTCAGCTAGTCTTTGTGTTTAGCAGCCAAGTTGGCATGTGAAGATATTTCAGAATGCTGTTATTGCTACTCTTCTGCTTAATGTATTCCTTACCACCATAACATATCAATTTACCAATCAGCCATCAATAGACACAT